GGTAGATGTAAAGACCTAGAATTAAATATGGAGCTAATCTGGATCCCTCAATATGTTTCCCTTGTACCTACAAAGGTTACCCCCACTCCAAAGTCATCTTCTATAACCTATGCGGTACTAGAACAGACAGACTAAAGAAGTTTGCACCTATCCTAACCAATATCGACATGGTTACGTGCAGCGTGCGTCTACTCTCCGAGCTCGTAACATTACGGATGTTAGCCCGCCTGTGCGAGTGAACTCGGAGATGTTTGCGCTGTTCCTTTGGCGTGTTGCACTGGTAGGAGTGCGGCGTGCGGCGTTCAGCTTAATACGAACCGAATGAGCTTACATCAGCTCGAATTACGGTCGGGCAAGACGAGCGCACAAACTGCGCTAATTTTAATTACTGCGCCTTCGAATGTTAAGTTGGATTCCGACGCGGCGAGGGTATTCGCTCGCGCAAGTGCAAAGTAGGGTAAAATTGATATTGTCCTCTTTTGAGTCTAATAAACTTCTTATTTACACATCATACTAACTGGAAACGAGAAAAGAGAAAAATGAGTTTAGAAATGGTTAGGATCTGAATATACATAGAGGAGGGTAGTACTGATGTGAATGGGAGTTGCACTGATAAAACACGATTTCTCACTGGTGGAGTAGGTACTGAATGTGGAATGTGAATCCAGTGAGGACAAGTACCGAGAGAGGAAGCTGCGATTCAGAGTAGTGAATGCTATCAGTTTGGCTGGTGTTACTCGTCGACACTTTTCGATTGTTCGTGTTATAGAGGTTTCAACTCGATTTCCACTTGAATTTAGCAAGGCCCTTACAAACAGCCAACACTATTCTCTCTCTGGGAGTAAATTTTATTAAACTATTGATTATATAGTGATGGATCCTGAGGTTAGAGTGGGGGTAATGTTCTGGTTACAGTTAGTATAACATCGCAGACAGTAGGTAAGAACAAGCCGGAAACACAGACAGGATGAAGTCGAAGTCAGGATATTGCGATTGAATATGAATGAAGCTCACCTTTCACCTCCATGAGAGATGATATGGTGCCAGGGCCAGCAGCTTGACTCTCGTGCTAATAGTCCTCGAGACTCGCAAGGCGCCGTCTCCAGCATCCCCTAACTCATATTATTCATCTCCGGTGTTTGGCATTACAGCCGAAATGGAGCGATGCGACCAATCGAGCGTGTGTATGGGGGTATTAACCATCCACTTCGGTTACCATTAACAGACACATTCGACACGAGCAATGGATGGAATTGTAAACAGTCGCGTTGCGCCGATTACGCGATCGCGGAACACGCTAAACGTCTTGTAACAACTCCTCAACCCCCAATAGCATAGAATAGAATAAAGCCGATGTGAATGTTTTGAGGTCACATTCGTCACACGCAAATATATTGCGATTTTATAGACTTGGAATTGGTATCGAATGATAAACTCACCCCTCACGCCCTGGTTTCAACCCCTATGTGAGAGGGGATGTCACCAAATGAAAGTACATAAATTAGGGTAACTGATTTTTCATGCACTGTTCCCTCTGCTTCTGTCTACTTGCGTTAAACTTTAAAAAGAAAATCGGGGTGAGACCGAAATGAAGAAATGAGGGAGACATTGTTGACAGAGTCGCACGCGCGCGACGACCGATAACCGATAACCGCGCGAGGGTGCATATATTAGTATTCTTTCGGGGGATGCGCACCCACCGCCGAAATCTAATGAAGAAACAAGAAAAACTTGTCAACATACCCTTCATTTTTCGATGGGAAGCGTAAGCGTAGTGAAATACGAGATGACAGAAGCGATAAATATAAATTTTAAAAATTGGATGATTCTTTTAAACATTTCTTCACCGGTTTGCTGGCAATTTGTTGCGTTCAATTGGCGCGGACCTTAAGGGAGCAGTAAAAACACACTCGAATGCGCCCCGCGTTATTATTTATCCCGCTCGGCTCGTAACGTGCGCACATTAATTACACCGACTCGGGGTTGGTTGGTAGTTGGTGGATGCGCATGCGCGCACATGTGAACGAAGAAATTCCTAATTGCAAAACTGCTGGCTGCGCGTTAAGCCCGTTCGACATCCACTCAAAGTCTCGCACGTTTTAGTGCTGTTTCTGGTTAAGCACTTCTTTCCATCGAGCCGCTGTAAATGTGTGCAGCGAAAACTCTAAAACGATGTTGAAGTCGAAGAAGAGAGGTTTTACGTATGGAGCAAGCAGTATGTTACTGTTCGCGGCTGATAAATGCGAAAACAAGCCTATTCCGGCGCAGTCTACACGACCGACCGACTCAGAATGTTATTTTCCGGAAACAAAAGGACCACCATCAACAGCGCTACACGTATGTTTGTGTGGGTTTCGGGGGCCCACATTCCGCACAAGGAGTTAATTAATTAAAACACATCAACGTGTTTCATAATTTTCACCAGCTGCCCCCCGCGCGTACATCTATTACATGTTGGTGCAGGTTTGGCTAATTTGAAAAATATCGCACACACGTATGTTAAGTGTTCACGGGGCGCAAAATTGCGCAGAATGGGAATTAAAAGCGAGCAAGAAAGCGATGGGGCTGGGCGCATGGGGCATGGAACAGGGACGCGCATTAAATTTAATTACCGCGCCCGGCGCACGCATAGGGTACAAATAACGGGATCATCTCTTAATGCAGCGAGTAAACAATCATATATTGTGTGAGCTTTTTTAATTGCCTGCCGTGTTGCTTTCTAGTTAATCTTGATACAAAGTTAGGAATATTTGTTATGCGCATGCGCAAAAAATAATAATAAAGATGCATTGTATTTTACTTTTTTATAGAGAAAAATGGGCATTTTAATCAAATTTGATTGAAAATTTGACTTAATGCGATTGACTGAGTTGGTCTTGCGCATTCGATGATAAAAATACATTTTAAACATATTTTTGTATTTTTTTTTATTTTTGCACAAAGTTATTTTAGCAAATTTAGTTAAAAAACTGTTTAAAATCAAGTGAAAATGCTAAAAATATTCACGGGAGCTCCGCCCACTTTACTTACTGTGTTTGAATGTGTCTATTGCGCATGCGTTATGGCATATTAAGTCAATTATGATTTTAAATTCTTATTATCCTTCGGTAGCAGTAATTTAAGTCTCTTATAGAAAATTTTATTGCATAAATCGGATTGACGTCTGATTGCACCGTCTCTTCGCCTGCTCGTATCGCATATCGTACATTGCTAGTTATGGCAGTCATCAGAACGCCCTCCGGGCGCAATCGGCGCGCACGAGACGCAACAAAGTGCCATGTGATTATGCAATTCAGCCGGTGAATCGCGCGGCAAATTGCAAAATTGCTAGCGAAATGCAATGCCATTCGAGCGGATTCATTTTCCCACTGCACTACACACTCTACACTGTACATACATACGCGTTGCAAATTTACATACAAAGGCGCTGAATGCAGAAGCGAACGAACGAAAATACAAAACTCGAACGCCGCGAGCAGAAAAGCTGCTTACGTACGGAATGCAAACAACAATTGCGCTTAATTTCATCGATCAACAAGCAATTACTAGTCTTCAATTCTTAAGGTTTATTTCTTGAAAATGTAAAATTTTTATTTTTAGCGGTTTGCATCAATGTTTGCAAGCTGGAAATTCGTCGTCAAAGAATCCTATAATGGATTTGTCAGAACGATAATTGATGTCAACACGCTATCGAGCGCGGTAGTGGCAGCGGCAGCATGAACCACTTCGCTGATAAAAGATAAAAATCGATGTGACAGTCATTTATTACGCGCCGCGCAGCGCGTCCGAAATGTCTTGTCTTGTCGCTCGACCGAACAATTTATCAGATACTCTAAACGCGTCGAGTGTTTTCGTCTCGAATTGACCTCGGCTCGGCGAAAAATTCATTTTACGCAATTTTAATTTTAATTTTTCAATTCCGCAATTTTTATAACAAGCAATAAGCAGAGAGAAAAAAAATAGTCTCAAATGCGTGTAGAATAAACACGTTTATTCGCACGTCCAGAGAGAAAAATAAGCAATTAATGCTAGTCGCAAATAGGTTTATCAAATTAGCAAGCATAGCGTAGCATAGCGAACGCGTTGCAATCGTGGAAATTGCGCGGATCAAGCGTGCTGCGCTGCGCGCTTTTAATTAGCAAACGCCAAGCGGGGTTTTTATTCCGCGCTTTTATTTTTATTTGCGTGAATTAACCGCACGACACGGGGAATAATCGACCTGCGGACCCGGCGACTCCACCGGACCACACTGAGGTGGTGGTCGGTGGGGGTGGGAGGGTGCGTGTGCGCGCTCCAGCGGCAATGGTGGAATTAAACGAGCTGAATTAATTTGTAAGCTATTAGTCCGTTTCCGTGTGCGCAAATTGTGCAAATTGCGGATATGTGCTGATACCTTTAGTTCAGGTGAATTTCACCACAGAATTCAGCGGGTGAAGTCACTTCATCAACCGGGGATTCTTGTATTAACAACATAAAAACGCAATTTCAACTTTAAACACTAAATTTTTACGTGTTTTCAATGGATTTTTACATAAAAACTGTTCTGGGAGCTCCGCCCATTTAGATCTACACTGATTGAATAATTCACATACGCATGCGTTGTAAACTTAAGTTTAAAAATAGTTTTCTGTATATTTACAACATAAAAACGGAATTTACAAGATTATACATTAAATTTTTCAATGTTTATGTGATATTTTTAGAAATAATTATTCTGAGAGCTCCGCCCATTTAGATCTATACCTGATTGGATGATTCATATGCGCATGCGTTGTATACATATGTCTAAAAATATTATTCTGATCTTTTTCATGCTGCTTTCCATGTTTGTGTCGTTACGCATGAACGAATCACATCAAACAGACCGAGATTCATTGAACTTTCGACATTTGGAGACAAATATACGTTCCCGTTGACGGATTTATTACTTGTGAGCAACATAAATTGGATTTTCATTTGTTGTGATTAGTTTTCAAAACAGAATTTAAAACATAACATACCTGTGCAGAGTTCGAGCAGAATAAAAATCCAGGTCGCGAGAACGACGCATCCTGATGAGGAGGTCTTCATGGCGTCGCGACGCACCGCTGCACTCCTGCTGTGCACCGGCTTGGTAATCGGTAAAGCGTGTCGCCGCACGGCCACTCAACTCACCGCACACATGCACCCGAGTGCGCTGCGAACGAATAATCCTTGCATTTCGTCCAGTCCACAGGAACACTTTTAACTAAGTCACCAAACAGCGAGCACTAAATCACTCACCAAACGCTAACTAAAGTTGTTTTATTTTTCTTTTGAGTTTCACACTTTTATCGGTTAGAATCGCGCACAGGTGGTGAGTTAGGCAACACACTCATCACAAACACACAAAGTAGTCAATATAAATTGCCTAATATTATAAAGTTATTAATTTATCCTTTTTGATTGCTGTTTTGGATCCTGAAACAAATCCAAAATGTTTAGATGTATATTCAAGAAGGAAAGAATCAAAACAACGTCCTTTCATGCGTTTCAGGACACTAAAAAACCGATAGGCGAGTCATCGGCGAAAAGCTTGGGATAGAAAAAGGTTGAGGGCGGTAGCGACTTTTCTTGGCATGAAATAAACAAACAACAAACTGTTCTGCAGAAAGAAAACGCTTGCGAAGCAAAAAAAAAGCCCACAATAAAAAATATAAGCTTTTAAGCTAAAATATTTTGAAAATATAATTTAACGGTAATTAAAATTGTTTGTGGTTAGATTGGGTTTGCACCGAAATTGAGTTTTCCGGTTGTGGTGAGCGCATAACTCGTTAAAAATTGAAACGTCGGGATAGTTAGCGCCCTTTTGGGTTTTTGCGCACGCAAATTGCACCGATTAACCACTCAATTCGCTTCCGTCGCATCAAACATTAACAGAAACGCAAAAAATAAAAATTTAAAAAGTGCTTTGATAATTACCTCCTTTCTTTTCCCATTCGAGTTTTATATTATGTATAATCCACACGTAACAATATCCAAATGAATCACACAAAATGTATTGTACACAAAATATTTTTTGCAAAAGTTTTAATTAAACCGAAATCCGAAAAGTTTGTTTTCGCTTGTCGCAGTGCCACACCACTAGATTTCAATTAGAGACATAACAAGTTGTCGCACTGATTAGGCAAGCGCTGTTGCTGTCGCATGAGGATAGTAGAGGGTGGTTATCGGTGGTAGTGGTGGAGAAAGAATCCGCGCCTCGCCTCGCGCACACGCGAGAGACCGACACACACGACGGCGGCGCACACACGGGCGTACCTGGATGGCACACACAAGCGAGCGGCGGTTTTCAGGCGTACGGGCGGCGTGCGTTCGAAGACTGCTGGCCGGGTGCCGCGGACGCCGGCGGCTGCCGACGGGGGAAAACGCACGCATGCGTACTCTCAGCTTGGGAGCGCAGGCGTCCGCCGAGTGCTCCAGAACGAGGACGCCGCACACACATCGACGCTCATTATTTTAATACCGGTGGAACTCACACACAAACACTTTTCTCGGTGAAAAATTCTCTCTAATCCTAATCACACGCAATTAGTCGACGATTTCCTAATGGGATGGAGTTATTATGTTCGTTTTTTAAATTTTTATATCCCTGGGAGCTCCGCCCAATTTAACTTGAGCGCTACCGCGCATGCGCGTTATATTATTTTGATTTTATTATTTAATATTACAAGTTTTATGAACAAATTAAATACCAATCGTTGCTGCCGTGATATATAATTTTATATATATTGTCTGAACCGTAAAATTTGATGGAAAATTTATAGAATCAATTCGTCTCCGCATGCTCTGGCATGTTGCGAGTTGTTCGCAATCTGGAGCGCGTTCGCTTCATTTGTGCGCATCGCCTGAACGCCCACGACGCTTCCGATTGTTTTCGGAGGGCGAGTTTATCGACACTGAAATTTTCTTATATACGTCGGCATATTTGCATCCGCTCGCAAATGTATCGCGGAATCGGAATATACGAAATTAGTTTTCGTTCTGCTTTCGTCTACGGGGGTGCAACATGTTTTGCGTATGACAGGATCGAGGGTGTGACATTCTCACAACAGCTTCAGGTTATTTTCGAAAAATAGGGGAGGATATTGTATACGCTAATTAAATCTGTAATAAATTTTGTTGTTAGATTTGATTTTTGGAGGGTCGCAGGCATAGTAAACTCTTAAATGGAGGGTGAAATTTAATTGAGGGGGTTATTAAATGCTTTTCAAATGTTTGTTTTGTGATTTTATTGCGTATAAAATGTAACCGAAGGGTGGTTCAGTAGTGCAATGAACTTTTTTTGCATTTTAATAAAAAAGTAAAAAAAAATACTCGGTAACACTGTAAATCGACATCAAAGCTTTTCTGTACGCTTTGCCATTGTCCTTTTTCTCCCACTCCTCAATTTTTTGCATGCGGACACAGCAATTACCAATCAATACTAATTTTATTTTTCTGCGCTGCGACACTAACGGCTCTCGCCGCTCGTTTGATCGTCCTGATCATCTCCGATTGTGACTGTGACGAGTGCCAGATGGTGTTCGTGAGGGCGGCGTTGGCGGCGGAGGTGGCTTAACGACCATACACAGCCACGCGCGCGCATCTCGTTGGAATAAGAATAAAGCGTTTATTTAATTTACTCACAGACGCGTACGGTGTGTAATCCCGTAAAGTACTTTGAACGCGCCGGCGATAAGTACTCGCGCAAAGTGGCAATGGGAGTGGAGTTTAACTTATGAAGTAAACCGTAAAAGTGAAACTTTCACACTGGTACATAACTTGCGGGTGGGTAATTTAACACCGGCCACTTTCAATGTGTCAATTTCTCAAGTTGCCATAAGTTGAAACGCGATATATTACATTAAACATATATGAAATGTTGAAAATTTTTAAGAGAAGGCTTAAAAATTGATTATTTTATATGTGTGTTTTGTGTCAGACCGTCGGAAATGTGGTTTTGTAAAATTTCAGTGTTTAAAGTTGTACATTTGGGTACTAGTGCGAAAAATTCACTTTTTAAAACGCAAAAATTAGAAGAAAGATGATTTCATCATTGATAACGTTATAATTAATCAGACAAACATTATTTTAATGATTTTGGAGCTTTAATTGCTTCTAAAACTGCCAAAAATTCGAAAAATGTTTGAAATTTAGAAATTTTTTATATTTTTACAAATTTTACGAATTGTACACTAGAATAATAGTGTTAAAAATATACTTTTTTGCGCAAAAACTATAAAGAAAATTATATCATTATTAACAGCATTTTAATTAACTATAAAAACAATATTTTACACTTTTTGATGCAAAAAATCGAAAAAAATTGAGGAAAAAATAAGAAAACTGATATTTTTTGTGTTTTTACTTTATAATACAAGCATAATTTTAATTATTTTTAGAATATTACTTACTCCGAAACATGAAAATCAATATATTATATCAAATTCACGTAAAATAACGAAAATTTTTACAAAATCTTAAAAATTGATTATTTTACGCGTGTATTTCGTGTCAGTCGTCGAAAAATAGATACATAAAGATAAGCAAAGGTGCTAGGGTGATTGTAAGGGTCGCAGGACTCGCACGTCCTCTTTTGTGATATAATACGGTTTAAGTTGTACATCTGCCCGAGACAGTGCTCCCTTATCGCCGTCGCGCCTTATCGCGACGTGTGCTACGCTCCCTCAGCCCAAGTGTGGGCGCATGTTGGCATGCGACAACTTCCGGCCACGAATTACAAACACCACTACCGCACAATCTTTATTTCTCATTTTCTCATTAATTCACACACGTAGCACTGGCAGTCCGCGGGGAAATACCGTTCGAAAAAGTGCTTGAAAAATAAATTGCTCTTGTCACCTTTTCTAACCTCTAAACACGTCCTTTGGGAGTTACACCGTCTAATTTCTAATAGATTGAAAATGTTGAAAAATTATCTATTAACTAATTTGGTGTTAATTTGATTGTGACGCTTTCCAGTAAAAACTAGTGAATAAATTTTGGTAAAATTTGGTTTGGAGATATTTTTGATTAAGGAAAATAAAATAGGGTAAGAAAATTAGTATGATGATTTTTTTTTTGTTATAGTTGAATAATTCGAACTTAGATGGCGTTAAATTATTCTATTTACATTTTTCTAACTACCAAACGTGTCCTTTGAGATTTTTTTTTTGTTTGTGACGCTTTTATTCCCAAACTACCAAATTGATTTTGATAAATTTTGCTGTAGAAATATTTATGATCCAGGAAAATCAATTAGATAGCTTTCTATCGCTAAAAATTAACTTAAAGGGTAAAAAATAAGGGATGAGAGTTAATATGATAATTTCATATAGTTATACTTGTATATTTCGAACTTAGATGGCGCTAATGTCCTTGTCCTAACCTTCAAATACCTAATTTCTAATAAATTGAAATAATATGCACGAAATAATAATAATAATTGTGGTTGTTTAGTTGTAGTTTAGTTTTCACATTAGATTCGCATCAGCGCGCTCACTGAACTGATTTGCGTTCGAGTTCAATTTTCGTCTGCTTCCCAATCGCGCAACAGAGGTCGGCGAATTTCTATTAACGAACAAAAGCATCTCTTCGGGTGGAGGCGGCGGCGGTGTGCGCAAATGGCCCACAAATTAATTAATATCTTTCGTGAATCTGGCGCACGCCGCGCGTCCACAAAGATGAGCTGGAAGGCGATATATTGCTATACATAACATAACTGGCATTAATGCGTAATATCAATCGACCAAGGCCGCCGAAGTAGAACGGGAAGCGAGTATTAATTACACCAAGACGGGCCGTACGCTCGCGCGTATCAATCGTCTCCTTTGACAGAGCCGATTGCTTATCGCGATCGCTTCCACATGCGCATAATTCATAATCGATTTGATTTATATTTGTGGGTATGTCATGCGAAAACTACTAACGCCATCTAGATGTGGTGCGATTTGTATTAAGTAAAAATAGCACTTTTGTGAGAGATTGTGAGCTATTACAACTCATCGGGTTGTAATCTGGTCGTAAAGTGCACGCGAGCAGAGAAAAAGTGACAAAACAAACAATCAGCACCAGTGGCGTGTCGACGGCGACATCCTCAAGAATAGAAAGCTTTTTATAGCATCACTTGCAGCACGTTCCGGCTTTAAAACGAAAATGTGTAATTGCCTGAAAAGCATAAGCCGCGCGCGCGCGCCCGGGAATCTCGAGCGCGGCGGCGTTGTGTCGTGACATGTGTTCGATGCGGCCGCCGACAAGCCGCCCCTCGCGTACGTGCCGGCGGAGGCGAAGGTGTTTTTAGTAAATATTTGTAATGCTTTATCGGGTGCCACTTTTACACCGATCTGGAAATCAATTTTTTCACAACAAAATCCCAAAAAGTGTAAAACATTACAACACGCATGAGCAAACCACTTATTAGATAAAATATAGTATAAGTTTAAATTTTTAATACAAATAGGAAAGAAATAAAATCTGAAACATGCTTTTTCCGTGTTTAAAGTTGTACTTTCGGATACTAGTGCGAAAAATACACTCTTTAACACGCAAAATTTAAAAATATCTTGATAACATCATTAACAACAATGTGTTTAACCAAAAAATATATAATTTTTATGTTTTTTGTCCTTTAATTGCTTAAAAAGAATCACTTAATTACTAAAAACTGCCAAAATCCTAAAAAATACAAGAAAATTAAAAGAAAATTGATGTGTTTTCCGTTTTCACAAATTAATTCATAACTATTACTAATCCTAACATAATTCAAGTATTATTTGAAGTTTTTACAGATGGTTACCGTTTAAAAATGAAATACATGTCGCATTACGCATGCGCAATTGACTTTTAAGATTAAAAATGTTAAAAATAGAAATTTTTATCGAGAATAAAAGCTTTAATCATGGTTATTTGCACCTGAAAAGATGAAATGTAACGAAATGTGTTGTTTACCATGTTTGCGCGTTTGCACTGAACTCCCGAAAACAATTTCGCGTTGTTATCGGATAAGGTGTAAGTACGCTCAGTTAGCAACATGTTTTGGCAACAGCTTCATCTTTGCGCGCCGCACAAGTTATAATCTTCTTAACTACGCGCCGACGCAAGGCCGAACGTCTTAGAAACTTTCCTGGAAGCATTCTTCATTACTTTTACCCAGTAACAACCAATTTATTTAAAAATTTAAAAGAAAAGTGCAAAACATATAGAAATTATCAAGAATTTTATATTTATAATAAAAAGGGAGCCTAAAATTTAGGTTTGGTGAGGTTAACAAGCGAAAGTGTAAGAAATAAGTAGAAATCTGTATATTTATATGCAAAATATAATGGAA